CCCCCCGCCCTTTATAAAGTCACTTTACTGCCCATCATACGTCACTTTACTTCACTGTACTGCTGTCACCTTACATTGTGTGCACCATGTGCACTTGAATATTGTAAATAGCAACTGTAACTCTATTTTAAATTTAAATGTATTCCTTAGAAGTGTTTTTTATTCTTTATTTTTATTATCTTTTTCTGACTGTTGCACTGAGCCAAAGCAATTTCCAAGTCTGTGACCTCCTGTTACTTACGTGGCAATAAAAATGATTCTGATTCTGATGATTCCACTGATTGGCCAGATCACAGAATCATGAATTGCTGGGTTGCAGCTGACGTCAGGCAGCAGCGCGAAAGTCCTCTGAGGGACAGGAAGTAAGTCGCCCCATTAACCATAATGTAAACATTCACGGATTCAGTCAAATGAGTCAAAATGCTCTTTTTCTGTGGTGTGCACAGTTGTGGCAACTGCTCATATCAAATGGAAAACTTATGGAGTCTCTAATTTGCTAAAATGTAATGAATGTAATGAAGAATAACTGTTAAATGCATTTTTAAATGCCAATGGTTGTCTCAAACCAAGGTGTTCTTATGAAAAAACTAAAATCAGGCTGTACGATCTAAGTTTTCTCACATAGAATCTAGCCATTGTGTTATACGAGTGATTGTTCAATTTTTTTTCCACGACTGGAACTGTGAGGACCAGAGTAATGTCTAAAGTCGTATCTGAGCTCAGTCCCAAGGACGGCTGGGATAGTTGCAGCCCCCCGCTGTTAGCTTCCCCCTGGCGCTTATGTCCAATCTTTTTATTATTTACAGCTGAACAAATCACCAAAATGACAATAAAGGGTCACATTTCTTGGCTCAAAAGTTGTTAAAAGTAGCATCTGTGCCCTATTTATTGTATTATTGATCAGAACTGCCATCTTGGACATGGTTCTGTTGATCCCAGAGTGATGAGCACCACTGTCATCACTATAACAGCCGCTTAATAATAATAATAATAATAATAATAATAATAATACATCAAACTTGAATAGCGCTTTTGTTGGACACTCAAAGACGCTTCACATGGGGAATAAAATAAAAAGATAATAAAAAGGAGGTTTACGGAAAAGTTTGTTTGAACGGATGGATTTTCAGTACAGATTTAAAGTTTGGTGGTGAGTCAGAGTTTCTAATGGCAGTGGGAGTGAGTTCCCGAGGGTTTTGGGATTTGGGGCTGATGATGAGGAGTTCTGTTTTGTTGCTGTTTAGTTTAAGAAGGTTATTGTCCATCCAGGTTGTAATGTCGGAGATGCAATTAGTGATGGTGGAGAGGATGACCGGGGAAATGGATTTGGTGAAAAGTTGAGTGTCATTGGCATAACAGTGAAAAAGGAGTCCATAGTGGCGGATGATCTGGAATGAGGGGAAGCATGAAGATGGTGAAGAGGAGAGGGCCAAGCACGGAAGTGTGGGCGTTGCAGTTGTTGACAGAGACAAAGTGGAGACGATCGCAAAGGTAAGAGGTGAACCAGAGGGGTAATGTGCCAGAAATGCCAATGGATTGCAGACGGTGGAGGAGGATGGAATGGTCTGTAGTGTCATATGCAGCTAAGAGGTCGAGGAGGAGGATGAATAAGGAACCAGAGTCGGCGGCGAGGAGGAGGTATTGCAGAAATATAACACAAATATTTGCCATTGTCTAAATACATAGACAAAAGTTAATGTAACAGTATTGTGTTTAAATACGTCAGTTAACAGGGAGCGCCTGCGGCCCCTTGTCAGAGTGGAATAACACGTTGATGAGAATTTCGGTTGTTGACTGGGTCAGGGAGGGCAGAGGCAGGAAATGGAAGAAGGATGTTTTGGTGATGTGTTTGGTATTAGAGGGTTGCGCACAGAGGGTGAGGGGGTGACATTGTGGCCGTCAATGAGGAGGGTAAAGTTCTGGACAGAGGGCAGGAGAGATTTGGGGCCAATGATAAAGAGTTATGTTTTTTTGCTGTTAAAGTTATTATTATCCATCCAGGTTTTCATGTTGAGATGAGGGAGAGGATGACCGGGGCGATGGATTAGTTGGAGATGTAGAGTTGAGTGTCGTCGGCGTAACAGTGGAAGTGGAGTCCGTGGTGGTGGATGATCTGACCGAGGGGAAGCATGTATATAGTGAAGAGGAGAGGGCCGAGCACAGAACCTTGGGGGACACCATGCTGTGCCGGAAATGTCAGTTGATTGTAGATGGTGAAAGAGGAATGGTCTAGTGTCATATGCAGCGGAGAGGTTGAGGAGGAGGATGGATATGGAACCAGAGTTGGCGGTGAGGAGGTAATTTGTGACTTTAAGAATTGCTGTTTCTGTGCTGTGGTGTGAACGGAATTTGGATTGAAATGTTTTGACAAGATGGAAGGAGTGGAGATGTTGGTGGAGTTGAGTGATGACAGCACGTTCCAGGATTTTTGACAGTGATGGGAGATTTGAGATGGGTCGTAAGTTGTCTAGGTTGTCAGGGTTAAGGCCGGTTTTTTTTTAGGAGGGTTGTGATGGAAGCTAGTTTGAGTGAGGAAGGGACAGATCCAGAGGTAAAGGAAGAGTTGATGATGCTGGTGATGAGAGGGATGAGAGTTGGTTGACAGGATTTGAGGAGGGGTGATGGGATTGGGTCAAGCTGGCAGTTGGAAGATTTCATGGTTGAGAGGAGTTTGGTGGTCTCAGAGGGGAGAAGGAGGAAAGGCTATGGACTGTGAGTGCAGTGAGTTCATGTTCAGAGGGAGGAAACCATATAGCTAGCTCATCAAATTAACAGCTGCACTAGCATGGGCCTTAATCATAACAAAACGCTGCCAACTCAAAACAAAGTTACTTTAAAACAAAATTCAAACACAAAGAGGTCATCCGTGCCTACCGAATTAATGGAAACCCATTCATGTTAATTAAAAAGGTGTTTCATTCATAAACTTTTCTCATGTTAATTTTCATTACAAAGCAAAACTACTGTAACAGCTTTCCTGGCTGAGTTTCGTACGACGGCAAACTGTAGCGGCTAACCACTCTATATTTACATTTTAAACAGTCAAAAACACAGATCCAAACGCAAAATATTATTGAAGATAGGTATCTAGAAGTGGTCCGATTAGTAAAATGAGTCAGGTTGTAGCCACTCGGTTTGAAGCTTAGCGCTGCTGCCACAGCACAGAGAGAGTGGAGGAGTTACCTGGGCAACCCGGACGTTATATTCCTGATCTTGTGATCAGGCCAATCAGTGGAAAGGGGCTAATATAATATTGATCAATGATTACATTGATAGGGTTACACTGTGGTGATGTCACATGGTGGTGATGACACACTCTGTATGCTGTCTCTGTGTGGTACAGTACTCACAGCTGAAGCAGGTGGCGCCGGTGTATCCACTTTCTGAACAGTTACAGTGGAAGCTGCTCCAGGTCTGAGTGCAGAGGGATCCGTGTTCACACAGACTGGGAGAACACCTGCACACACAGACACACACATGAGGCACAATAGTCCCACACACACACACCTGCACACAGGGACACACGCCTGAGGTAAATAGTAACTTACACACACACACACACACACACAAGTGAGGCACTTAGTAACGCACACACACGTGTTTTACAGTTTTACAACAACCTGCTTGGGAACTACTGCTGTAAACTAGCTCTGCTGCTACAACCAGGTACAGTGCATCTCTCCTATTGGCTCAATAGCACACTGTCCCTGTAAAAATACTACAAGTCTGAACTAAAGTTGCCATAAAGAACCATAACTAAAAACTGAACTAAAGTCGACCTCTTACCATAAAGTTTGGACTAAAACATGGCGATCCTTCATCTTCACTTTGGTTTAAATTGAAAACAAGCTGCCTCCATTACACCTCTCACTCTCTCATTAGTGTTTAAAGCTTTCTCAGTCAGATTCGAAGCCTCTGATTGTTTCCCAGATCCCCTGAGTCCCACGCCCACAACCACCACCACTCTACAAACTCATATTATACTGGTACTTCTACCTACATACATATAGAGTACAGAGAGCTCAAAGGCTCATGTGACATTTCAGATTCTGAAGCACAGCAGCAATTGATCCGATATCAAACAGGGACCGTGTACAGAATCGATGCAGCAAAAGCTCCTAATGACTTCTAGCTCTGCATTAACGCTGAGACCGACATCCAACCGGGGATATTACAACTAAACGATGTGTTTCGAAGCTAATGCCAAACCTGCTCCACTCATTTCACTGTTTCCACAGGGGGTTCATTAAAACTTTGTTCTGGTGTTGTGTTACCAGCTCTTAAACAAGGCACAAGTTTGTTTTCTTTTATTGTGTTTCCTGCACAGTGGAAATGAACAAATGAGTGCCAAAGTGGAAATGGAAAGACTGTTATTGGATTATGAATGTGGTTGATGCAAAACATTTCCTCAGTTTTTAACCTAGATCAAGGTAGGTGGTGGTGATGCCTCCCTATGGACCAGTGGCTCTTGGACTTCAGTGGCACGGTTCTGTCCAGCAGGAACCCGATCGGCTGAGAACCTCCTCTACAACAACCTCAACCTCATGGAGCCAAGAAGACCAACCAGGTCTCTGTCATCGTGAGTACACTACAGGCTTTTGTTTGGGGAGTTTGGGTCAAGTCAAAGGCCTCTGCTCTGAGAGTTAAGGTTCAAATGGAAGTTTAGGGACACTTGTTGCTTGTATTTATTGCTTTCGTCGTGCAGTAAGAAGGTCCTGGTTTCTATGTTGATCTACAGTCTGTCCGTCTGTGGGAGCAGATCCCTCTCACTGGGTTTCTGAGTGTTTCCTCTCAAATGCAGGAGAGGACCTCCTCTGTTGCTATGACCTATGGTGAGGTCATAGCAGCAGAGGATTCACACCTTTTCTTCACAGTGCTGTGAAACAACACCCGCTGTGCAGTGTATCTGTTCTGTTCCACTCTGAGGCTGTTTCTCAACGCTTTTGTTTTCACCTGAAACACCGTCTTTATGTGAACGAAAGGCCAATCTGATATAAACTCTAGCGTTCAAACCACAACCAACACACCCACCCCCAAACCCCCCCCACAAACACACCAACCACCACCACCCCACACACACCCCAAAAAAAAAACAACCCCAACACACACACACAAACACACCCAACACCAACCCAAACACCCAAACCACCCCCAACAACCACCAACCCCAACCACCACACACACACCCCAAACCCCCCCACAACAACCCCCCACCTAAAACAACCCCAACCCCCCCCCCCAAACCTCAACACAAAAAACCAACCTAATCCACCAAAAACAAAAAAAAAAATATACCTAAACCCCACAACCACACCATCTAAAAACCCAAAAATCTACATAATAATCAAATATCACAAAAACACCAAAAAATACAACTATCACAAAAAAACCCCAACATAACCCCTACCCCCCACCATCCCACACCCATTCTCCACAACCCAATAACCTAACCCTCCAAAACACCCCAACACCCAACAACACATAAACCAAACCCCCCACTCCCTCCCCCCCTTAATAACACCCCCCCACAACAACCCACCCCCCCCCAAACCCCCACACCCCCTACCACCAAACACCCACACACAAACACCCCAACCCCCAAAAAACACCCCCACCCAACCCCACCACACTAAAACACCCAACCCCCACCCACACCAAACATATACCCCCCACACCCAACTCAACCCCACCTAACACTATTCCACCCCACAATCCACCAAAACCACCACATCCCCCCAACCACACAAACCCCACACAACCCCACACCCCAAAAAAACACATAAAACAATAACCAAACCCCATCACCCACCCATACAAATAAACATCCACACCCTAAATCCAACTACCTCACCACCAACCTACCCCCAAAAACCCAACACTAAACAAATCACCAACCCCAACCCCACACCCAAACCATCCAACCCCCCCCCCAAAAACCAACCCCAACCCAAAAAACCCAACAACAAACAATCCCCAAACAAACCCAAAAAACAATCCCAACACCCCCCCAACCCAAACAAAATCATAATTCCACTAAAATAAATACAACCAACCCCCCAACCAAACCAAACACCAAAACACACCCACCCCAAAAAACCCCACCACCCCCCCCCCAACCCCCAACCCACCAACCCCACACAAACCCACCAAACACAACCCCCCCCCCCCCCCCCCCCCCCCCCCCACCCACACCACCAACCCCCCACCAACCCCACCACCACCCCCCCCCCCCCCCCACCAACCCCCCCCCCCCCCCCACACCACCACCACCACCCCCACCACCACCCCCCCACCCCCAACAAACAAACAAACCACCCCCCCCAACACCCCCCCCCCCCCCCCCCCCAAACCCCCCCCCCCACCCACCCCCCCACCCCCCCCCCCCACCCCCCCCCCAAACACACACCCCCCCCCCCCCCCCCCCCCCCCCCCCCAACCCCCCCCCCCCCCCCCCCCCCACCCCCCACCACCCCACCCCCCCCCCACCCCCCCCCCCCCCCACCCAAACCCCCCCCCCCCCCCCCCACCCCCCCCCCCCACACCCCACACCACACCCCCACCCCACCCCCCCCCCCCCCCCCCAACCCCCCCAACCACCAAAACCCCCCAACCCCCCACACCAACCCCCCCCCCCCCCCCCCCACCCCAACCACCCCCCAACCCCCCCACCCACCACACCCCCCCCCCCCCCCCCCCCCCACCAACCCCACCCCACCCCCACCCCCAACAACCCCCCCCCCCCCCCCCACCCCCCCCCCCCCCCCCCCCCCAACCCCCCCCACCCCCACCACCCCCCCCCCCCCACCCAACCCCACCCCCCCCCCCCCCCCACAACCCCCCAAACCCCCCCCCCCCCCCCCCCCCCCCCCCCCCCCCCCCCCCACCCACAACCCCCCCCCACCACCCCCCACCCCCCACCACCCCCCACACCCAACCCCCCACCAAACACAAACCCCCACCCCCAACCCACCCCCCCCAACACCCCCCCAACCACCCCAACCCCACCCCAACCCCCCCCCCCCAACACCCCCCCCAACCCCCCCCCCACCCACATCCACCAACACCACCCCCACCCCCCCCACCCCCCCAAACCCCACCCCCCCCACCCCCAACCCCACCCCCCCCACCCAACCCCCCAACCCCCTAACCCAACCCCCAAACCCCCAAACCAAAACCACCAACCCCACCCAACCCCCCACCCCACCCCCCCAACCACACAACACCCCCCCCCCCCAACCCCCAACCCCACACCCCAACCCCCACAACCAACCCCCAAAAACCCAAAACCCCACCCCCCCACCCCCCCCCCCCCCCCACCCCCCCCCCCCCCCCCCCCCACAAACCCCAACCCCCCCCCCCCCCACCCCACCCCCCCCCCAACAAACTCCCCCACAACCCCCCCCCCCACAACCCCCCCCCCACCCCCCACCCCCCCCACCCCCCCCCCCCCCCCCCACAAACACCCCCCCCCCACCCCCCAATCCACAACTACCCCACAACCACCCCCCCCCCCAAACCCCAAAACCCACCCCCACCACAAAACCCCCCCCACACCACCCAACCCCCCACCCAAACCCAAAACAAACAAAACATCCCCCATAATACCACAACAACTCTAAACCCCCCCCACCAAACACACCACAATCATACAACAAACCACAACAAACCACAACAACAACAACACCTCATATACATCACACAACAACCCTCAATATCCACACCCACATATCCCCCCCATCCCCCCCTAAACCCCCATACAACCCATATAATCCCCCACCACCCACCCATAACCCCTCATCACCAAAACCCCCCCCAAATCTCCCTCCCATAATACAAATCCCCAAACATACCAACAACTATCAAATTAACCTCATACACCCACCACCCCTTCAAAACCCACCTCACCCTTTTTCTCACCCCACTTATATTTCATCCCCACACCCTCCCCCTACAATTCTCCCAACTCACCTCACTCCAAATTCCCAACCACAATACCCCTAACCCTACTATTCCCCCCCCTATCCCCCACCCCACTCACACCCCCCCATTCACTAACACATAACTCCCCCAACTCACTATCCTCCATCAAAACTAAAAAACCACTCCCCCCCCATTTAAATCTCCCCCCCAACCAAAAAAACTCCAACCCCACTCCAAACCTAACAACAACACAACCCAACAAACCCCAAACTCCCCAACTCTTCACCCACCTAAAACCCAAATCACATCTCTCTAAATCCACCCATATCCCCCCCCCCTCCCCCTCTCAAAATACACCAAATCCATCCACCCTATCCATAAACCCAAATTAACCATTTCTCCAACCAACCTTACCACCCCTCTTCCAAACTCTCATCATCCAATCCTACCTCATCCCCCCCCTCCCACCCCATCAACATTCAATTCCCCACTATTCCACCACCCTCCACTCCACAAAAACAAACCCCACCACAACCCAACCCCCATCATCCCATACCCAAACCCAAACCCCCAAACCCCAAACCCCCCCACCCCACCCCTCACCACCCCCCACCCACTCCCAGATATACCCCCCCCAACACCTACCACCCAAACCCAAACCCCACTCTACACCCTCATCACACAACCCCCACACCCTATCCAATAATACCCCCAAACCAAAACCCCACCTACCCAAACCAACCTATCCTAATACAAACAACCCAAACCCAAACACCAAACAAAAAATCACAAACCTCCAAAAACCACAACCCACCACATACTACCCAACCTATCCCCACCAAAAAACTAACTAAAAACACCACAAATCCACCACCCCCAACAACCAACTACAACCAAAAATATCCACAACCCAATATCATATCACAAATTAATCATATCACCACCCCACCCCAACAACACACATTCACCTACCCAAACCACCACACAAACCACCCAACAACCTCACCCCCCCCACCAACCAACATCCCCCCCCAACTCAACACCTACCCCACACAACCCATCCAACTAACAACCCCCCCCCCCCAAAAACTACAACATAACAACACCACATAACAAACAACAAAACTCCCCCAACACCCCCCAAAAACTACCCACACAAAAACACACCCACAACCACAACCAACCACCCCCAACAACAACAACCCCACACATACACCACAAAACTAACCCCCAACAACACATAAAAAACAAAAAAACCCATACCCATTCAACCACCCCACATATCAAATTACAACCCCCCCCCACCAACCCCCCCAACAAACTATATTCAACTATTCCCCTAACAATCAAAATCACACAACACCAACCCTTTCCCCACATAACCACAAAACCCATCAAATTACCCAACCCACACATATATAAAATAACCCCACACTCAATCCTCCCCTTACCTCAAATTTTCTACTCTCAATCCCCCCCCCTAAACACCCAATTCCAAATAACCTTTTCCAACTCAACTATCCCACCCTCTTCCTAAATCTCCTCATTCAATCACCTCCATCTAACATTACTAACAAAAATACATTCCCCAAACCCCCCCTCCCTATCCCCTATCACTCTCCCCCCACCCTCCCCTCCCCCCCTCCACCCAATCCCCCCCTGTACTCCAACCCCTCCCTCATCCCCCACCCCCCTTTATCCACATAAATACAAACCACAACTCAATTCCCCCTCCCCTCCATAAACACTCTAAACTCCCCACCCCAACCACAACCCACCACACAACCCCAAACCACCTCCCCCCCCCACCCAACCCAACCAAACAACACCCACACCAACACAACACCACACACAGACCACCCACAACACAACCACCCACCAACACACAAACCCCCCCCCCCACCCCACCTCAAACAATCCCACACACCCTAACCCACAAAAACACAAACCACCACCACCAACACCCAACAAAACAAACCCACCCAACAACCCACACCCCAACCACCCCACCCCAAACACCCACCCCCAACACCACCCACAAACCCCACAACAACACCCACAAACACACAAACACACACACCCCAACAAAACCCCACCCCCCACCCCCCCCCCCCCCCCCCCCCCCCCCCCAACACCCAACCAACCCCACCCCCCACCCCACCCACCCCACCCCACACAACACCCCCCCCCCACCCACCCCCCCCCACACCAAAACCCCCCAACCACCCCCCCCCACACCCACCACCCCCCACCCCCCACCAAAACCACAAACCACCCCACCCCCACCCACCCCACCACACCAACCCACCACCCCCCCCCAAACCACCCCCCCACCCACAACCAAAACCCCCACCCCCCCACAACCACCCCCCACCAAACCCCCCCAAAAACCCACCCAACCCACAACCAACCAAAACACCCCAACCCCCCCACAACAAAACCCAACACCCCCACCAACCACACAAAACAACAAACAAACACCCCAAAAAACCAACACCAACCCACAAACACACCCCAACAATCCAACCTAAACAACCCCCATCCCCACCAAACACACACAACAAAACCACACAACACCATAATCAAAAACACACTCTACCCCACTCCCTATATATAACACCCCCCTCATCCTCACTCCTTTAACCCTCATCCCCACACAACCCAAAACTTCCTCCCCACCTCCCTCTCCTCCTATTTTCCCTTACCCCATCACCACAACCCCCCCCCAACACCCCCCCACCCACCCTTCCAACCAACCCCCCACAACAACCCATAACTTCCAAACCTCCTCCCCAATTATCCCTTATACTCTACCCAATACCAAAATCCCCCTCAATCTCCTCATTCTCCCTTCTCACCTTCCCCTCACACCCCCACCCAACCCATTCTCAAACCTCAACTTCACCAAACCCCTCACTTACTTACTCATCTCTCATCATTCACTCCCCTCACTCACTCCCAAACAATACCCATATTCCCAAACTACCCCCAACCCTAAATAACATATCCACATTCCCTCCTTTTCCCCCCCTAAATCATCCACAAACCTAACACTAATTATTACATCTCCATCTATAATATATTTATATTCCTCTTCTTAATCTATACCATTCCCCACCATAACTCAACCCACACTCTAAATCAACCACCCCACATTACACACACACCACAACACCAACTATACACTCCCCTCACAACAACATCTCTACCCTCCCTATCAACCCCCCCCACCCATCCAACCTACACCACCACCCCCCCCTCATCACCCTCATCTCCCCACCCCACATTACCAAAACTATTACACACACAATCCATCCCCCACATACCTCACATCTCAAACATCTAACACACATTACACCTCACCTTTACAAACACCTCACCCATCCACTACCCTCTCCTCCCCTTCCCCACCCACACACCACACACTAGTATATCCATTACAACCATAACACCCCCCACTTCTTCCCCTTTCCAAATCTAATCACCCACACCACACCTCTCTCCAATACCCTCAATTCTAAAACAATAAATCAAAAACACATATAATTATATACAATACATCTATAAAAACAAAACAAAACAAAATATCCATCATCACCTCCCCCAAATTTCCTATTTTAAAATACCATATCCACCACCAATACCATACCCACCCCACCCATCAACTCCCCCCACAACTCCCTCCTATCCCATATCATTCCCACCCACTTCAATCCCATCATCCCCCTTCCCACATACCTTCCCCAAATCCACCTACTAACTCCCACAACTTCACCAAACAATCCACACTTCTTAATACCCACCCCCCCCCCATCATACCAACCACACCCTAAACATCCAAATCATATAAATCCCCAAACCTCAACACATCATCCCCACACCTCCATACCACACTCTCCCACACCTCCTTCATTCCACCCCAATCCCTCATTTTCTACCAACCTATTACCTTCTTTCACCACCCACCCCCTTCCCACCCCTATTCTCCTCCACCTCACCACCACCCTCCTTCCCCTCTCTTCATACCAACCTGTGTTCCTCACCTTCCCACTCCCCTCCATCATCCCCTCATAATTCTCCTAACACCCCTTCCCACACTCTACCCACCACACCCCCACACTACCCTTAAATTAACTATTTCCCCCACTATCTTTCCCCCCCTCTCCACCCTTCTTCCAATATCTCACATCCTATTCCTATCACTTTCATACAACCCACATCATCTCTCCCATTACCTACTCCCCTCTCACTCATTAATCCTCTTCATTACTACACCCTCTCCCCCACCCCATCCCATACACAACCCCCCCCCCCACCCCACCTTCCTCTATCATCTTACCCACACTCCACTCCCCCCCCCCCTCCCCCTTCCCCTAAACAACCCACAAAACATATTCCACAATCCCCCCACAAACCCACACCCCCCCTCCCAAACACCCTACCAAACCATCCCCCACCAACTACACCTAGGTAACAACCCATTCACATCAACAACACAATATATCCCCCATATCCAATCACATACCACTCCCATACCTCACAAAACCAACCACCCACTACTAACCCAACTCTATAAAAAACAACAAAACAAAAACACACAAAAACATCCATAATCCCATCTCCCCCTCCCAATCCCCTACATATCTCCACCATAACCAACCTATTCCCCCCCCCATCAACATCAACATCATCAACCCTCATTCCCTCATCCCCTCCACATCCAATATTTAATCCTATCCTACTTCCTCCTCTCCTTCCCTACCACTTCTTCCCTTCCTACCTACTCCCCCCAACCCACATACCCAACCCTTCAACCCCTACCCATCTACCCCCATCCACAAAAACAAATTATATCCATAATATTCCCCTTACACCACACCCCCAACTCCCCCAATTCTACACACAAATCACCCCATACCCCTCCATACCTCCTCCACCCATAACCCATCCCAAAAACCCATCCCCATTAATAACCCCCCCTCTATAAAACATCCCCCCCACCCCACTTCTATACTCACCTTAAAACACCCCACTCCACACTCCCAATTAACCCCTATATCAATAAAAAAAAAAACCCCAAAAAACCCCCCTTTCCCTTCCATAACTTATCCCCTCTACATCACCACCCCAATACACTCTCCCCCCCTCCCCATCATCAATCCCTAATACCACCCCCACCTACCACCCCCCAACACCCCAAACCCCCAAACCACCAACCACACCCCCCCCCCCCCCCCCCCCCAACCCCCCCCCTATAACCCCAAACACTAACCCTACTAACCCAACACACAAATCCCACAAACAATACAACAATACCTCCATCCCCAACATTTCCAAAAACTAATACACCCCCACACATCAACACCCCCCTACACCACACCCCTCCTCAACCCACACCACCCCACCCCCTCCCCCCACCCCCCACCCCCAATCCACTCCTCCCCAATCATATCCCACCCCCCCCTCCTCACCCCAATTTCCACCCCACCCCCTCCCCACCCCCTTCTTAAACCTTCCCTAAATAAATCCCATCATTTCCAAAACCCCCCCCTCAAACTAATAATTATCTACCTCTAAAACCATTAAATTACTATCACCCACTATAAAATTTCAACTTATTACATCATCTTCTAACATAAAATAAATCACCTAAACCTACCTACATACACCCCTTACTACCCAACAACACCAATCCCCAACCAAACCAAAACACAAACCACAAAACCCAAACCACAAAACCCCCACACACAACCACAACACCCCTAACCCCCAACACCCCCCCCACTAAAAAAACCCCAACCCACAAACCACCACCACCAAACAACAAATCAATCCCCCATCCCCTACCAAACAAACAAAACACCACAACCCACACCCCCCACAAACAACACACCCCCCAAACCAACAACTCCCCTCAATTACATCTTCCCTCCCAACCCACAATCAATCCACCCATAAACAACATACCAATACCCATCCATACTAAACACAACCAACCACTACCACATACAACTACCTACCCCCAACCCCCCCACACCCCCCCCCCCACATCCAACAACAACCACATCCCTCCCCCCCCCCCCACAAATCCCAATACACCACCCACTCCCCCAAACCAAACCCCTACAATCAAAACACCCATACCTAACCCTTTCTCTCAACTACCCAATACTCTATTCCCACCCTAATACATCACCAAACTTACTAATCCAATTACCCAAACTAACCTCTATTCCCATTCCTCCTTCATCAAATTATCATATAAAAATAAAAAACTTTAATCTCCCCTCATTCTCTTAACCTCCCCACTAAATTACCCCCTCTACATTACCCTAAATCCTCTTTCCAACTCTCACAATTCCCCTCACCCTCACACATAAACAAATCATAACCCTAACAACAACAACCCCATCAACCCCTCATCAATCCTTTCTACTTCATCCATTATCTCTTCAACTAATTCTATACTTAATCTATATATTTACCCTAATCCTATTCTACCAATTATTATTCATCAATCCTACTATTTTCCAATAAACTATCCTCTTCTCTTTCTCTCCCCTCCAATTTATCCCAACCCATATCCTTCCCATACCTAAACAATACTCAATAATTCCCTCATCCATTAATAAACCACATCCCACCTTTTTAATCTTCATTCTTCATTCACATTCCCCCTATCTTATCTACTTACCAACTATCAAACTCTCAATCATAAACATATCCAATTCTAACCCATCCAAATTCCATCCATTAACATCCCCCTCATTCCTTCAATTCACATAATTATTAAATCTATCATCCCTCCTAACCCATCAAAAAACCCCCCTATCCTTTCTCAATCACATTTCCACCAAATACCTTAATACCTTTACCTCACCCTTAAAAACAAACTTCTTTTAAAATCATATCTCCACTAAACTAACATCCATTCCCTCACCTCTTACCCCTTCCTCTCATCATCATCATTATCATCTTTCATCTCTTAATTAATATACCCATTCAAATCTTTCTTTTATCATTTCAATTACCCACATTCCCTTATACATCAAAATTACTCACACTAAATAATTACACCTCTTTTCTCATCTTACCAACACCTACCATAATCAAATACCTCTCTAACATCACTCTTTCTTCCCCCCCACCCTACTCACCCACCCCCCCCAATCACACCCAAACCCCACCCCCCCCTCATCCCCCCACCCCCCCCCCCCTAACCAACCCCCCCCCCCAACCCCCCCCCCCTCTAACCACTAACCTCAACCATATATCCCCCCCCACATAACCAACCCCCTTAAAAACCCCACCCCCCCAAAAACCATCACCAAACCCACCCCTTCCCCACCCTAACCTCACACCCAAATATACAAAACTAACCCCCATACACTTATCCACCCCACACCCACACCCCAACAACCCCCACCCCCCCCCTCCCCCCCACCCCACAACCCACCTCCCTAACCCACTCCAAATATCCACTACCCATCTAACCTAATACTCCCCACCATAAAACCAAACTAATCTCCCCCCTCCCTATTCTCTTCTTCTAAATATCCCCTTCAAACACAAATATCAATATCACCTTCCCCCACTATTCCCTTTTACAACCCCAATCACCCATCACCCCAAACCACTTTAACCCCCCCCAATATCAAACCCCCAAAAAATCAACCCCCAATACAACAACCCATAATATAACCCAACACAATCCTCCATAAACTCCAACTCACCCCCCCCCCACCACCCCAAACTAATACCTACACCCCATAAACACACACAATACACCCCACTAACCCCCTCATATCATCCCCCTACCCCCCACCCCCCCCCCCACATCCCCCACCCCCCCCCCCCCCCCCCCCCCACCCAAACCCCCAACTATACCCACTACCCCCCCCCCCCCCCCCCCCCCCCCCTCTTCTTCAACTACCTCCCCCCCTATACCCCTAAAACCCCCCCCCATACAAACCACTCAAACCCCCACTACACAACCCACCCCCATACCCTATCCACCCAACCAATTCCCCCACACCCCCCCCCCCCCACACCCAAACCCCACCCCCCTCAACCACCCTAAACCCCACCCTCCCCACCCCCCCCAACCCACCCAAACTCCACAACCCCCCCCCAACCTACCCCCACACCCCCCCAATTCTCCCCAACCCCCAACCCAAATTAAACCCAATCCCCCCACATACCCAACCCCACCACCCCACCCAACCACATAATAAACCCTCAAAACCTACCTACAATACCTAATACCAATAAACCCCTCACCCATCTACCCCCTCCCCCCCCCCCCCCCCCCCACCCCCAACCCAACCACATTACAAACCACCCACCACCACACTCTCCCCTCTCACACCCCCTTCACATAACCAAACCTCAACTCCTTCCCTCCTCCCAATCACTCACACCCCCTTTTCCCTATACCCTCCACCCTCATCCCTCCCCCTCAACACATCAACACTCAATCCAACCCTATCTCCTCCCACCCCCTTTTCACAAACCCCACCTCATATAAAACTCCTCACCATCCCCCCCATCCACCCCACCAAACCATAAACCCCTTTTTAACAACCCCCAAATAAATTATAATATACCATCACAACCCCCCTTCCCCCTAAATAAAACAAAACATATAAACTCCCCTACTTCCCATCCCCCCCATCTATCCCCCTATACACAAAAAACACCACCATCTAATAATAATAATCTCTCTCACCACAAATTCCCACCACATAACACAAACCCCATATCCCTTCACCCACACCACACCCTCACAACCCCACCTATCATCCAACTAAACCATCTCATCACCCCCCCCCTCCCTCCCCTAAAACCATCCCCCCCCATATTCCCTATCCACATCTATTCCTCCTTAAATTCACTCAACTCCCCCCCACTAAACTAATACCACACCCCTTAAATTCACTAACTACTCCCACCTCTAACCATCCCTCTCACTCCCTTACCAACTTTCAAAATCATCCACTCAAATACCCTAACCATAAACACACTTACACCCAATCATCATATCAACCTCAACATCCCATACCCCATCTCCAAAATACTCACAATACCACACACATAAATACTTATCCCTCCTACCCTACACCACATCTAAATACTTATTATTATTAATATTTCTATTTTCCTTCCACCTTTCAATTTCCCCCCACCTCTCAACTCCACATCATCTCTCCTCAAACCCCCCACATCCTCTCTTTCTCTTAACCCATTCTTCCTATTAAAACCCAAACCCCCCCTATCCTCATCCTTCACTCCCAACAATAAAACTACCCCCCCATCCCACAATTACCTCTTACATCCAAACTATCATAAAAACTAACATAACAAACATTCCACACAAACTAACCTCATTTACTTAAAATACCTATTTCCCTTATCAAAATCTCTCCAACTTCTCTCATCCCATAACCATTAATAATCCTCCTATCCACTAATCCCTCATACATTACCCCCCCTTCCCTAACATCCTCCGAATAAATACACCCATACCAACCCTATTAATACTATCTTATCACTCCTTTCCATCCATTATATTATAATATATATATATCATACATTACCACTAAACACCACTTCTATAATACCCCATATATCCTTTTTTCATATTTAATTATTTTTCACAATATCATCAATATTTTACATATACATATATATCCTTATTAACACCCTTCATAATATCCCCCTTCACCCACATCCCACATCCCATTTCCTCAACCATCACCCATAACATCCATTTTAAACCCCTCTCCCCCATCAACTCCAACTATATACCATTACCACCCCTATACCCTCAACCTATTATATTACTCACACCCCCCATATTCCCTCCCCCATATTACCCCCACACCCATACCACCAATAACCATAATCAAATAATCCCCAATCCCTCATTTCCATAACCCCCTACACCTTCCACACCCTACCTTAATCCCCTTACCCACCACCCACACACATATCATATTACCTCCTCTCACCTAACCCTCTATTCACCCCCAACCACCAAAAACCACACATCCCCAACACTCACCCACACCCAACCCCACCCAAAAAAAAATTCACATAAAAAATACCACAACACCCCAAACCCACACTCTAATAACTCCTACCCTAAATCAACAACACCAACACTCCCCACCACCCACCACAAAACCCCAACAACAATCAAAAACCCCACCCCAACCCCAACACCCCAAACACCACCAATCCCCCAACAACCACACCCCAACCAAAACACCAACCACTCCCCCCCCAAAAACCTCACAACCAAAATATACAAACACCAACTACCACCACCCACAACCAAACAACACCCCCAACACAAACCACAACACCCAAACCCCAACCTACCACAAACCCCCCCACCACCCCAACCCCATAAACCCCAAAACCCATCCCACCCAACACCCAACCCCCACAAACCCCCCAACCCCCCACAATCATCCCCCCCCCCACACACCCCCCATCCAAACCCACCCAACACCCACCCACCCCCACACACCCCAACAAACCCCCCCAACCACCACACCACCCCCTCACACCACCCAACAACAACCCACATTCACATACCAACCCACCCCCCCCCACTCATACCCACCCCCCACCACCCCCCCCCTACAACCCATACCCACACCCAACTATCCAACCCCCCCCCACCCATACCCCCCACATACCCCTTACATACCACCCACCACCCCCCCCCAACCACAACCCAAAACCCCCCCAAAACCCACCCCAACTAACCCCCCTCCCTCCCTCCCCCCACCCCACCACCCAACCCAACCCACACCCCTCCCCCACATAAACACCATCCCCAACACCCCACATCAATCCACATCCCCCCTCAACACAACACCCCCAACCCCCACCCCCATCCCAAACCTTCCCTCAATTACTAACCCCCTTTAACATATCACTTCCCACACCACAACCCAATACCCCATCTACCCCACTTACCTCACCACCCCCCCCCCTTCCACCCAACCCCATAACCTCCTCACTCCCCCACCCACTCCCACTCCACCCACCACCCACTCCTTAACACCACCACCCACCAACCCACCATCCCCTTCATTCACCCACACCCAAACCCCCTCCCCCCCCCCACCCACAAACACCAATTCCCCCACACACCATCACACTTACCTCCCACAACCCCACCACCAAACCTTCCCCCATCATACCCCCCACCCCCACATAACTCCCCCCACACCACCCCCTCCCACCCCCCCCCCACCAACAACCCAAACCATCAATCCCACCCATCCCCCATACCACCCCCTACCAAACCACCCTATAACAACCCCACTTCCCCTTTACCTCCTTCTCACCCTATAACCCATCCTAAAACCCCCCCCACCATAACCAACCCAAATTACACATACAAACTCCCCTTCCACAAATATATCACAAACTTCCACCACCACACTCCTCCTCTCCACATTACCAAAAACAACCACCACCACTCCCCACAACTCATCAACATCCCACCCTCCCCCAACCCACCACACCCCCTACTTTCCCTACCACATTCCAAACATTCCCAACCCCCACTTTATACCCCACATCCCAAATCTTCTCTACACCCCAAATACACATTACACCCCCATCCCCTCCCCCCAACCTATCAATCCCAACACCACAACACCCCACAACCATCAACCCACCAACCCTCACCTACACTCCCCACATCCACCCAAAACCATACACATCCCAATCCCCTCCCCAAAACCCCCCCACCCAAACCTTACCTCTCTCACAACCCAACAATCCACACCGCCCTACCCCCCATTCATTCTCCCAACCCAAACCACCCCCCTCCCCCCCCTCCCACCACATCACCACCTCCCCCCCACCCCCCTACTTCCCACCCACCCCCATCAAACTCCCACAATCACCCCCCCACCTAACCCACATACCACCCCACCCAACCTAACCCCCCCCCAAAACCTTCCCCCACCAAAAACAACACAAAACAAAAACAACCCCAATATCCTACTTACAATTCTTTCATACCACCCCCCTTCACAACTCCTTAATCCATACAAAAAACACAAACAACTAACATCAATCAACTATTCAAATAACACTTTCACTTACTATAGACTATCACCACCCACATTTCACCCCCTACCCCCATTCCCAATCATCCTAACATATCACACACAACATCCCACTTTCCCCCTCATAATTTACACACAATAATATCATAACTTATCCCCATTAATTACAAATTTTTATCTTATTCATCCTACATTTCCCTACCACCAAATAATATTCAACACCCTCCATTTTACCATCTTCACCCTCTTTTTTCTTCTCCCCAACCCCTCCTAATCCATTTTCCTTATCTACATAATACTCCTAATTACACATACCTCATGACCTCACCGTATCCGCTATCTTATTAACCAAAAATCCCCAAACACTCGCTACCCCACCTATTTCAATATAACACATTATAGAAAACTTATATCTATCCCTCATATTAAATTTATAAACAAACATCACCCCATTTTATTCTCCCCCCCACCAACACAACATTCCCAAATAAACCATCCAAAAACATTTTACTTATCATAACCATACCGACACCATATTATCCAACTATATCGATCCATACTTATATCCAATTCATAATACTTCTCATAATCCCACAAATTTCCCACACAGAACGAGCATTTTTTCCTATCATTGACTTAACCGTTTACCTTATTACATACATTTTCATTGTTTTCTAACTTACTTCCTTTCCCTCAGAGTACTTCGCCTCTTCTTCTTACATTCCTGCTTAACCCATCCCCCACTCTCAATATATCTTTTCTCTTTCCCCACCTTATTCCACACCTCCACCTCCACCAAAAACAATCCTACCTTCCCCTTCATTACCCTCCAATTCCCAATCAAATTCACTATCACCCCTACTCCCCCTCACACCCCACCCTCAACCCCCAAACCTTCACCCCAAACCCAAACCCCACTCCTAACCTATACAATACCCACAACCCTTCCCATTATCCCCATACCTTATACCTCCTATCCCTATCCTACCTATCCTAATCATCATTCCTCACCTATCCAACAACCCTTTCTTTTTTCACTTAACCTTCTTATAACCATCTACCCCTCCTCTTTTACTCCCATACATATTTTTCTTAAACTACCATCATTCCCTCCTCACCATCCAATCTCTTACAAATTTTCTATTAATTCCACTACCATATCTTTATAAACTAATATCTCTTTTACTTCTAATCATATCACCTCCCTCCCCTTTCCATCTATCTCTCCTACCTACCCATACATCCTCTTCATTCCTCCACTTTACCTCACAACAATCCATCTTCCCCATCTCATACTAAATAAAATACATCATATTCACTCTCCCCCCCTTATCCTTCCTTCTTAATCATTCATTCCACTCATATTCCATAATACTCCCATCTACCCCACCACTTTCCTTCCTCAATTCAAACCCCCCATCTCATTCTCCTTCCTACCCCACACATCATTTCCAAAATCATTTTCTCATCATTTATTCACCCAATCATTAACATTTATATTATCTATCCCTTCCCTTCTTCCACCCCCTCTTATTCAATTTCTAACCACCATTCCTTTTATTTTTTCATCACTCTCCTCCTAACTAATCAAATCTTCACAACTCATCACCCTTTTCAACCACATCACATCACCCATCAAATTTCCAACCCACCATTTATAACCCCCCTCAATCATCCTCCTCTTTCAAATTTCTACCTCCTCTTCCCATAAACAACCATTTCAAATAACTCTTTCAATCAATAACACCCCCCTCTTCTACAATTCTCATTATCACCTTCATTTCTAAATCATTACTACAACAAATACATTCCCAACCCCCCTCCCTCATCCCCCTATCCACTCTTCCCTCCCACCCCTCCCCTCCCCCCTCCACCCAACCCCCCCCCATTACCCCACCCCCCCACCCCCACCCCCTCTATCCCCATTACAAAAAACATCTCTAATCTCCCCCTCCACTTCCTTAAACCCACTATAAACTCCCTCCAATTCACAAACAACAACACACTATACTATAACTAACTTCCCCACATCCTTTTCACTTCTCCTTCCCCTCTCTCTCCCTCTCTCTCCCCTTCCCTCTCACCTCAAACCCACAAACAACCATCTCCTCTCCCCTCCATCCCATCTTATAAATACTAACCACTATACTCAACAATAAATACAACAAATACAACAACCATACCATAAAAAATAATCTTCCCCAATTCACTAACACCTTCATACACTCATTCATCCCCCTCAAATTCTCTCTCAACTCTCACTCACCTCCATTTCTCTCCACCTCTCTTCCACTCTTTCTCAACCTCCTATCTAACCACATCCACACATCCCCATCCACACCCCCCACCCCACACACATTTTCCAACCGAACTCCCCTACATACACAACCCTTCACTACCCCTCCCCCCTAAAATACCCAACATCCTCTTATCAACCCCCATACCATAACACCCCAAATACCTTTCCCCCCCCTTACACAACACAAACCACCCACACAACACCCCACACCCAACCACAATATAACCCATCACTCCACACCCCTATCCATACCAAACATATCCCAAATACCACACCCTACACCACAAACCCAATAACCCCTTCCTTCAACCCCCAACCCCCATTAATCCCCACCACCACACACACATATAAACCATCATACCACTCCATCCATTCAAACCAAAAAATATATAAAACTCAAAATCCAATAATCTCATACAACTTAAACCCTTAAACCCACAACTTAATATTTTCTCTAACTTCATTTTCTCACACAACCCCCCCATCCCACCAAAACACACACAAAAAACCAACTAATATAAAAATCTTTCTCACCCCTACTCACCTTATATACACCCTATTCCTCTTTAACCCTCTCCCCTCACACCAACCCTCAAAACTCCTCCCACCTCCTCTATCTTTTTCCTTACCCCCCATACCACTTCCCCCCCCCATTCAACCCCCCCAACAAATCTATCCAACCTACCCCCCCACAACATCCACTGGAAATCTGCTAAAAAAAATCCTTGAAATCCTTTAAAAAAGCCTTGAAACTGTTAAAATACTTGATAGATATTTGAAACTCCTGAAGTCCTTGAAATTGTTGAAACCTTTAAACTCCTGAAATCCTTGAAACTGTTGAAACATTGAAACTCCTGAAATCCTTGAAACTTTTTTAAACCTGGAAACTGTTGAAAGTGTGGAAACTCCTGAAATCCTTGAACCTCCTGATATCCTTGAAACTGGTTAAATTCTTAAACAGCTGAAATCCTTGAAACTACTGAATGTATTGAAAGTGTCCTTGAAACTGAAAAATCCCCTCACCGCTGAAACAATTTGGTTCCTGTAACTAAGGAAACCTGGTCTGTGGTCATTATCTGGTGGTGGTCTGAGTCTTCGTTTGGGTCTTGGTCTGGTGGTATAATGCAACCTATTAGGTTTCATTATACATGAAAAAACCCTATTAAATTAAAAAAATAACCTATCTCTCTCTATTAAGACCGTCACTACATGTATCATCTTATACAAGGAAAATTCTTAAACAGGGGGGGGGGGGGGGGGGGGGGGGGGGGAGGGGGGGGGGGGGTCAAAAAGGGGGTAGTATAATCTCAATAGACTATAGATGCATTAGTACCCGAGACCAAAAGTTATAATGTTCTAAATATCTAAGTATGGGAGATTGATGAGGGTCCATCCGCGGGGGGGGTCGATCGAGATTCCCTCTTTACACACACACTTTTGATACTGAGGTGGATAAACACGGTGGAGGGGGAAAAAAACAAAAAGCTTTTTTTTACATGTAAGCGATCGGAAAAGCCTATGGATATTATCAAGCTGAGATTAGTGGGGTTTGGTGGTTGGTGGTGGTATGGGGTTATTGGTTTATCGATAGAGAGAGAGAGGACGGTAATAAGTATCATCAAAGCGTATGGTGGAGAGAGAGTCTATATCTCTCTCTATCTCTAAGATGAGAGAGATAAGGAAGAGATATATGAAGTAATCAGATGTGAAAAGAGTAAGGGGGTTTTGAAAGATCGTATTGAGCTGCAAGAGTTAATTGGTGTGGTTAAATGGTTTAATTGAAGTGGTTGGATGGAGTAGGGGGTTATGGTTTATTAATTGTATTTGGCTGGTGTATGGGTGGTATGGATTAATGGAAGTGTAGATGGTGGGATGGTGACTGGTGGGACTTGGAAATATAAAGTGGTAGTGTATGATAGGGTGTTATGGTTTTAAAAAGTGTTGGGTATTGTTGGGGTTGTTAATGGTTTTAGAAGGTGGTTGGGATGTGTATGGGTGGTATATACTGGTTTACATGGAAAAATCCCTATTAAGTTGCATAATACTGGTTTACATGGAAAAATCCCCATTAAGTTGCATTATACTGGTTTACATGGAAAAATCCCTATTAAGTTGCATTATACTGGTTTACATGGAAAAATCCCTATTAAGTTGCATAATACTGGTTTACATGGAAAAATCCCCATTAAGTTGCATTATACTGGTTTACATGGAAAAATCCCCATTAAGTTGCATTATACTGGTTTACATGGAAAAATCCCTATTAAGTTGCATTGTACTGGGTTTACTACATGGAAAAAACCCTATTAAGTTGCATTATACTGGTTTACATGGAAAAAACCCTATTAAGTTGCATTATACTGGTTTACATGTAAAAACCCCTATTAAGTTGCATTATACTGGTTTACATGGAAAAATCCCCATTAAGTTGCATTATACTGGTTTACATGAAAAAAAACCCTATTAAGTTGCATTATACTGGTTTACATGAAAAAACCCTATTAAGTTGCATTATACTGGTTTACATGGAAAAATCCCTATTAAGTTGCATTATACTGGTTTACATGGAAAAATCCCTATTAGGTTGCATGATTACACTGAAGTCCTTGAAACTGCTGAAGTCCTTGAAACTGCTGAAGTCCTTGAAACTGCTGAAGTCCTTGAAACTGTTGAAGTCCTTGAAACTCTTGAAATCTTGAAACTGCTGAAATCCTTGAAACTGTTGAATCCTTGAAACTGTTGAATCATTGAAACTGTAGAAATGTCTGAAAGAGCTGAAGTCCTATTAAAATGCATGGGCCTATTAAAATGCATTGCAGAATTCTCAATGCAGATTTTTGTCCGATTGCGGAAAAACCGGAAATCGCTGAAGTCCCAAAAGTAATAGCAATAATCTCCCAAACATGTGGAACGTTTTGATGTATAACTTGTGGAAATTGTTGAAAATGTGAAAGCTGTGAAACGTGTCAAAAAAAATGACGGAATAAAGAAATACAAAACCAATGGTTGACTGCGGAAGGTTCCGCAGTCAATCAATAATACATCAAACTTGAATAGCGCTTTTGTTGGACACTCAAAGACGCTTCACATGGGGAATAAAATAAAAAGATAATAAAAAGGAGGTTTACGGAAAAGTTTGTTTGAACGGATGGATTTTCAGTACAGATTTAAAGTTTGGTGGTGAGTCAGAGTTTCTAATGGCAGTGGGAGTGAGTTCCCGAGGGTTTTGGGATTTGGGGCTGATGATGAGGAGTTCTGTTTTGTTGCTGTTTAGTTTAAGAAGGTTATTGTCCATCCAGGTTGTAATGTCGGAGATGCAATTAGTGATGGTGGAGAGGATGACCGGGGAAATGGATTTGGTGAAAAGTTGAGTGTCATTGGCATAACAGTGAAAAAGGAGTCCATAGTGGCGGATGATCTGGAATGAGGGGAAGCATGAAGATGGTGAAGAGGAGAGGGCCAAGCACGGAAGTGTGGGCGTTGCAGTTGTTGACAGAGACAAAGTGGAGACGATCGCAAAGGTAAGAGGTGAACCAGAGGGGTAATGTGCCAGAAATGCCAATGGATTGCAGACGGTGGAGGAGGATGGAATGGTCTGTAGTGTCATATGCAGCTAAGAGGTCGAGGAGGAGGATGAATAAGGAACCAGAGTCGGCGGCGAGGAGGAGGTATTGCAGAAATATAACACAAATATTTGCCATTGTCTAAATACATAGACAAAAGTTAATGTAACAGTATTGTGTTTAAATACGTCAGTTAACAGGGAGCGCCTGCGGCCCCTTGTCAGAGTGGAATAACACGTTGATGAGAATTTCGGTTGTTGACTGGGTCAGGGAGGGCAGAGGCAGGAAATGGAAGAAGGATGTTTTGGTGATGTGTTTGGTATTAGAGGGTTGCGCACAGAGGGTGAGGGGGTGACATTGTGGCCGTCAATGAGGAGGGTAAAGTTCTGGACAGAGGGCAGGAGAGATTTGGGGCCAATGATAAAGAGTTATGTTTTTTTGCTGTTAAAGTTATTATTATCCATCCAGGTTTTCATGTTGAGATGAGGGAGAGGATGACCGGGGCGATGGATTAGTTGGAGATGTAGAGTTGAGTGTCGTCGGCGTAACAGTGGAAGTGGAGTCCGTGGTGGTGGATGATCTGACCGAGGGGAAGCATGTATATAGTGAAGAGGAGAGGGCCGAGCACAGAACCTTGGGGGACACCATGCTGTGCCGGAAATGTCAGTTGATTGTAGATGGTGAAAGAGGAATGGTCTAGTGTCATATGCAGCGGAGAGGTTGAGGAGGAGGATGGATATGGAACCAGAGTTGGCGGTGAGGAGGTAATTTGTGACTTTAAGAATTGCTGTTTCTGTGCTGTGGTGTGAACGGAATTTGGATTGAAATGTTTTGACAAGATGGAAGGAGTGGAGATGTTGGTGGAGTTGAGTGATGACAGCACGTTCCAGGATTTTTGACAGTGATGGGAGATTTGAGATGGGTCGTAAGTTGTCTAGGTTGTCAGGGTTAAGGCCGGTTTTTTTTTAGGAGGGTTGTGATGGAAGCTAGTTTGAGTGAGGAAGGGACAGATCCAGAGGTAAAGGAAGAGTTGATGATGCTGGTGATGAGAGGGATGAGAGTTGGTTGACAGGATTTGAGGAGGGGTGATGGGATTGGGTCAAGCTGGCAGTTGGAAGATTTCATGGTTGAGAGGAGTTTGGTGGTCTCAGAGGGGAGAAGGAGGAAAGGCTATGGACTGTGAGTGCAGTGAGTTCATGTTCAGAGGGAGGAAACCATATAGCTAGCTCATCAAATTAACAGCTGCACTAGCATGGGCCTTAATCATAACAAAACGCTGCCAACTCAAAACAAAGTTACTTTAAAACAAAATTCAAACACAAAGAGGTCATCCGTGCCTACCGAATTAATGGAAACCCATTCATGTTAATTAAAAAGGTGTTTCATTCATAAACTTTTCTCATGTTAATTTTCATTACAAAGCAAAACTACTGTAACAGCTTTCCTGGCTGAGTTTCGTACGACGGCAAACTGTAGCGGCTAACCACTCTATATTTACATTTTAAACAGTCAAAAACACAGATCCAAACGCAAAATATTATTGAAGATAGGTATCTAGAAGTGGTCCGATTAGTAAAATGAGTCAGGTTGTAGCCACTCGGTTTGAAGCTTAGCGCTGCTGCCACAGCACAGAGAGAGTGGAGGAGTTACCTGGGCAACCCGGACGTTATATTCCTGATCTTGTGATCAGGCCAATCAGTGGAAAGGGGCTAATATAATATTGATCAATGATTACATTGATAGGGTTACACTGTGGTGATGTCACATGGTGGTGATGACACACTCTGTATGCTGTCTCTGTGTGGTACAGTACTCACAGCTGAAGCAGGTGGCGCCGGTGTATCCACTTTCTGAACAGTTACAGTGGAAGCTGCTCCAGGTCTGAGTGCAGAGGGATCCGTGTTCACACAGACTGGGAGAACACCTGCACACACAGACACACACATGAGGCACAATAGTCCCACACACACACACCTGCACACAGGGACACACGCCTGAGGTAAATAGTAACTTACACACACACACACACACACACAAGTGAGGCACTTAGTAACGCACACACACGTGTTTTACAGTTTTACAACAACCTGCTTGGGAACTACTGCTGTAAACTAGCTCTGCTGCTACAACCAGGT